AATGACAAGCTGGCAAATAAGAAGCTTCACTTCAGCTTCACGACTTTTTAGTGTTTGTCAGTTGCAGATTAAATGTATCAAGAAACCGGCTGAGTTCTTATAAATGCAAATATACTATAAATTATCGATGTTCGTCTTAAATCTTTGTCTTTGCCATTTCGTTAGCTACTAGATAGGTGAGATTGTTGTCTGTGTCACTATGGTGACCAGCAGTCTGCACACCAATATTCAGGGTTAAAGGGTGAATTAGCAGTTGTACATTAACTCCAGCGTTTAATACCATTTATTGCTAAAACTGTGTTTGGACAATCAGCAGAGCTTTATTTTACTGCAAATGAGGAGAGTTTTTTTTTTAATCTAATCCTGCTGTGGAGCCACATGTTGCCGAGCCCTGACTTAACCAGTAGGCCTGTCACAATTCAGAAATTTTAGCTGATGAACAACTGTCAAAAAAATGACTTTGATTAACAACTTAATTGTCTTGATCATTTTAATGGCACTATTACAGGATATAAGCCTAAAACATCTAAATTGACAGTAAATTACACTAAATTAAATGACACTAAATTAAACAGTACTGCACAATTCTGCACACACTCCCACATAAACATCTGGAATTGTACAGAATCAGGTAAAGAGTCAAGCTTACATTATGAAACAACTAGATAATGTCACCTTATCAAACCCTTTACAACATGGTAAATGGCTGCAAGGATTCTCCAAGAGGAGAACTTTGCACTGACTCTTTAAATGCTTCCCTCTGAACATGTTATTGCACCAGTAAGTACTTCCTTTCTTGTTTTTATAAGTTACAGTATACAGTGTATTTCTGCATTCTTTTATTATTTATATGTAGTTGTCTCACCCCAAATATCAAATAAGCCCACAAACCAATTCAAAGGCTATTTGCTGCAACCTAAACCTAAATTAGAAATCTAACGAATGTGAAAAATAATCACGGTAATGTAATAATCGAGACAGGCCTTGCAATGGTCAATGTCATTTGTTACGCTTCCAGCTCTGGTCTCAATAGAAGGTCATGCTACAGTCACAATAGTTTTGTTCAGAATATCATGAAAATATTTAGTTGTGAACTCAGTATCATAAATCTAATTGTGAGCTGAATGTATCATTACACCCCTATATACCTATATAAAAAAATCAGAAAATCGCTTTGAAAGAAAACAAAATTAAACATTTTTAAAACATTTGTCCACAGAAAAAATTCCTGTTTTCATAAGATAAAATAAACTAATTAAAATATTAAATTAAAATTAAAGAAAGCTTTTCTTAATGAACATTTCACTTTTGCTCTGTCAGGGAATGGACAATGACTCTGGTGGACCTGTCACTCTGAGCTCTTTGTTTATTGTTGCTAAGAACTGAATTTTGTTGGTAGGTTAATTTGAAATGATTTGTTCAGCAGTGGCAACGTTTCCACTTTTGACCAGAGCCACAGACTCTGAACAGATGAGACAAGCCATGTTGTCACTTCGCTACTCAGACTAGGAATAGTAAATAAAATGAAAATCTACAAAAATATGTGAAGTTATTTTTTTCTGATCTGATATCCAGCCCTGCTGTCTCTGTTCTGATGTGCTTCCTGTGCTGTCATCATTTACATAAAAGCATTTGATTGGATAAACTGCAGCACAGGGCTGCTACAGAAGTCGTTCTGTTATGTGACTGAAATAGGATTTTTTTTTCTACATTTTCTGTAGAATTATTGTCAAGTTCTTGGTACAGTCTACTGAAATAATTTGCTGGGTCAACATCTAGACCACAGTCTACCAGCTGACGACCGCTGTTATACAAGCAACAAGCTGATTATAAAAATGCAGAGGTTAACTTCTGAAAAATGCAGAGGTTAACTCAGCTAGTTTGCAATGTCATCCATGTAGCTACTGAATAATAAGCCTTAATACATCATAAGCCTGGGATTTTAAGGGGTTAAAGAAAATATATGTAGGGCTGTAGCTGAAAGGCTTGACAATGATGGTGAGTTCTTCAGTACAACCTCAGAGGGCAAACAAAGGGAAGTAGCCGCACTGTTTAGCTGTTGCTGTCGGAGAGAGCCTTTGCTCTGTCCACAACCATGTTAGGGCTGGCAGCAGGAGAAGCCACACCAGGAGCATGGGGTGACAGGTGAGGGCAACACTATCAGCACATTTGGTTGTTTACGTTCCACTTTGCTGACTGATAGAGGTGTGACGAACATGCCGTTGAAAGATAAAGGAATGCCTAACAGCAGCTGGGAAGTAAGAGTAGATAAGGCACAGTGGGATAAACCGTTGGGGTCAGAGTTGTCTGAAAGTTCAACCATCATGAACAACTGACCAATCATTTTTACAGATTATTACCTTTGAGAGTTGTTTGGTTTTATATTAGCAAATATTCACTACTTAAATATGAATGAATATGAAGAAATTATCAGTTATCCCAAATGACCATACAACAATAGTGGCATTCAGTGATTATTTCCAGGAAAAGCTCTGAAGTCAGTGTGATAGACAAACAGTGGTTTGAAAAATACAGCCTAGCACTGGTCAGGAAGTCCTCCTCAAGATCCTAATAATGCAAACAAAGGTGATGAGGGAAATCAAAGGCTTCCATACAGAAAGCGGCTATGCACTTCTGCAGCTAAATCAAGTTCCTACTGAGTTATGGGAAAAGACCTGTCACTTTTGAGACGACACAGGAAGTTCACAGGACGGCAGGGAAATGGAACACATCAGAGTCATAAAGCTCTCGTTCTAAGAGTACACACGCTTAAGTACGCTAGAAATAAAGCCTCGTGTCCACTTCCCCTGGAAAGACATATTCCCTGAGGACATATAAAGATGGAAAAATATTTATGCTGTGTTAATACAACAACAACAAAGAGAACATTTTGTGCTCTTACAAGCTACATCTGAGTAACTGGGAGTGTTTGTATGTATTTATATTAAATGCTTTTTTGGGTCATTTTCTCTACAGTGCTGTGCAAAAATCAGAGACCACTCTCCACCCTTTGTTCATTTTCTTTTCCAGTCAAAACAGCCATTAAGTACAATTAATTTTTCAGAAGATATTTCAGGAGGTCAGATAGAAGAAAACCTACTTGCATAAGTCGAGAGTTAAACAAGATGTAAAATAATATAGAAAAAATAGGACCATGTAAGACCTGGTAGACAACCAAAAGTGTCATGATCAGGTGAAGGGTAGGGGACAACCTAACACATTTTGGTTTTTGCTAAATACTTATAAAATATTTAAGTTGTAATAATAATGTTTTTATGCAAGCAACACAAACATCTCTGCTACAAACAAACACCTAACCTTTGTTTCTACCTACCCTTCATGTACTGAGTTCTACTGAAAATGACTGGAAGCCCAATGTTACAGTTTAGCCCATGGGTGGGATTAATTGTAACATACAGAGGGTTAGTTGTGACTGATGAAGTCTGATGAATTTGTGCAAACAATGTTAATTCAATATAATTCTATGTTATAAGAAATAAACATATTTTCCACCCATAATGCATCATATATTATCTAAGACAGGCAGCTTAAATGATAGATACACATCAACATGCATCAAATTATATATGAAAACTGACATGAAACTGTGTCAAATAATACATTTATTTTTTTGTCCAGTTTAGAACAGCAAATGAAAAACACCACACCTCCGTAAAATATGGAACATTGTTTCTGAATAGCTACAGCTTTACCAGCTGTTAATATCAATTTCATTGATATACTTATTTAAAACAAAATACCAACATCTGAAAGATACTAATAAAGTAGAGGAAAATGAATGTTTTCAGATGTTTCTGTTTTTCATTTTAAAATAGATGTAAACATATGAAACAAAAAGATAAAATTTACTTTATTTGTATTTGTTTACTAAAGGTGGCTTAGTTGTAACACTGTGTAACAACTAACCCCGCAGTACGGAGGCTGTACTTAAGCCTAACTAGCGCTTGCTGTAAGCTTGTCTCATGCATCATGCCATGGTGGTAATGTGGGCAGAAGCACACGCTGCTTAACCTTGTATATCAACATAAAAAGTCTGTGTTAAAATGTGCCCCATCTTAGGTTGTTCCCTGTGCTCCCCTACTTATAGGGGAAATACAAGCTGTGTATCTGAAAGGATGTGAAGCTGTTCAAGAAGCCATTACTAAGAAAAGAAAATTGGCAAGTGAAACAAAGAAACTGCTGGTGTTCTCAGAACAATGGACTGACCACCCCAGAGTCCAGACCTCAATATCACTGAATGTGTTTGGAATTGCTTGGATCGTGAGAAGCAGGAAATGCAACCAACTTCTAAGACTAAATTGTCTTAGTGTGGAAAAGTATCCCTGCAGATTCCTCTGAAAAACTGAAAAGAATGAAAGTGGTAATAAAGGAAAAGTGTGGCCACACTAAATACTAAAAAATGTGATATTTAGCTGTTGAGGCTTCTGTGTAACTGTCTGTAAGAAATATGCCTCCTCTCTTTTTTCATGACATTAAAGGACAAATAAACTGTACTTAACGGCCGTTTTGACTGGATATTAAATAAATCAAGTGCGGTCTCTGACAGTTACACAGTACTCTATGTCTAAAACGACATCCTAAACTGACCAGTAAACTCATTTTAGATGCACATTTTCTCTTCAGCCATGGACCATTCTTGGAATCGATGTATATCAATGTAAGGGTCAACCAGGTCCTGTATCGACCTATCAATAAAGGTCTTCCTTTATTGCCATCAGATCCACTGCCCAAAGCACAGGAAATACAAACAAACAAAGCCATATCCACCTCGCTGCATTCTGGGCAGAGCTGGTATGTAATCACCAAGTAATGGGTAATTGGGTTAGCATGTGTGACTGTGTGTGTGTGTGTGTGTGTGTTTGTTTATGTTGGGTGTGTAGGGGGTGCGGTTCCCACACGTGAAGACTCCACATGATCTCAACCTCCAGATACATCTATGCACGTGCAAACTGAATTAGGCCCAGGGAGGACTGACTCACCGGCCCATAATAAGTGATGCTGTCCAGCACTTTCCGCCTAGCTGTGGCCAGAGACTCCAGCAGCACAATGGCGCCGTCCTTTGCCAGGTCTATGCTGGCATGGGAAGCGTTCTTTGCACCAGCCACCACTGACACATAGGCTTTCTGAAGCTGCTTCCCCAAGTCTCCATCTCTCTGAAACAGAGAGGATTCGGCAAATTCCATTACATCTAATACAAATGGAAAAAAATGTCTAGTCTATGAGAATTTTAAGTACACATAAAGTAAATATGACAAGTCAATCCAATCCCAAATATGCACAGAATAGACAAATCAAAATGAAAAGTATGGCACACTGCTGATCCACACTGACCAACAATGCTGAGGCTGGTATCATGTTTTGGGGAGGCAGCTTCAGAAAAGAGCAGCTTCTATCAGCGACCAAACACATTATTGGTAGCCTTTCACTCAGCAAACTTGCTGAATGTCACCTTTTGTTAATGAATCACTATATACATGCAAAAGTTTGAACACTCCGGGTGAAACTATGTGTTTTGTTGATTTTTAAGAGAAAAATAAGTTTACATATCCTCTACAGAGAACAAACATAAATATGGCATTTTCTGCTAATTTTACTGCAGAATTTCTATTTACTTACTGATTTTAACATACTGGAAAAATAAATAGAACATAATTGTGACACTTCTAATATTTGTGAAGTTTGAATAGACAAAATGCACCCAAAATATATAAAAAAGACAATTACTACATAAGTACAATTATTTTGTAATGAAGCATTTCCAAAAATAAAAATTTCAAGTAACAAGAGATAAAAAAACTAATAACTGGTCAAAATAAATGAATAAAATAACTAACAAACTAATAAAATAAGTCACTCACATTGCTCATGAGAGAGCTATGGATAAACCAACAAGCAACAAACTAACAAAAGAAAATGAGAAAGAGGTCAAGAAGCTGCGATCAGAGGAATAAGAACCAGTGACAGTATATGATATATACACTCATTGGTCTGAACGTGCGGCCTCTGTTGCTAGTACTGGACATCAGTGATGAAATTATTGATATTGCATTCAAGTTGTTATTTTAATGTAATTAATGTTTCATGAGTAACACCACTGACAATCCTTTTGTGAGACCTGAAGCTGTCAGTATTTTAGCCAAATTTATTCGAAATCTAAAAAGACAGATGACATTTTATTTCACCAGTGACAAAAAATCTTGGGATAAGTTTTATTGTCAAAATAAAAGGTAACAGTTTTTTGGATAGCCCAGTGTAAATGCTTTGTAGATGCTTGTCTTGCATTTACCTTACATTCTACTAATTAAATTATCTAGTATATCCATTGTCTATGATCTATTATCTATTATATACATATCTATTATCCATTTTATCTGATCCAACTGATCAGATATCCAAAAAAATAAATATTGTGGCATATTGTGTATCGTAAATATTTCTTAAAGTATGACAATATTATATTTTTGCCATATCGGCCACCTCTAGTCCCTCGAGCCAATTACAATGACTCAACAGAATCAAAGAGACACTGGCCAAGAGTTGACCCTGACTCCCAGATGGGTTGGAGTCGAAGAATTGATTCTTTTTCAGTCATCTCCCCATCAGTATCTTACATTTTTACAACTACTTCACAGCTACAGGGCAGAATGTGAGATCTTTCCTTCTCCGCCCAGTTAAGTCAGCTCATTGAAGGATCTTGAGTGGCATGTAACATCCACACGCAAAAAGGACAGTCAGCTCCATATTAGTCCACATCCTTAAAGATCTGGCGTCCGGCCAAGACTGTTAGCTGAACACGTTGCATAATACCACTTAAAATCTTCTCGTCTAAACCATTTCTTTCCACATTAGTGTTCAGGATGGGCTGTCTGAGGGAACGTGTGATGAATGCTAAGAATGTCTTTAATAAAATCTTTCAGCAAATTTTCTCTAAAATGAGCTCCTGGGTTGAGCAGGGGAATCTTAAAAGGCATCTTACAGTAGTGGGGAAGACAAACATACACCTGGCAACAGAAACCAAACAGGAGCCGACGGTCTTCAAATCCACTGCCTGTCCCAATATTTGCTTTAAATTAGAGTGAAATTGAGTGGAAAATTATTGCTAATGATAGATCCTGACAAAAACAGTCTGGCATACTAGACTGTATGTTTTGTGTGTTTCTCATAGTTGAAGCAACTTTTTTTTCAGACTAGTTTCGGCATGGTCATTATTTATCTAGCTGTTGATATTGATCACAAATTCCTTTAAGAGAAGGGCTGCTTTGTTGAACTTGAATAGGTTATCATCAAAATAAATTTGGAATTCACTTCCTTTACATATAAATCAGACATGCTCGCTCAGTTTAAAGGGCCCACATTTTTCTTGTATTTTATTTTTTCCCTTGAGGTCTACTTATAACATATGTGTGTTTTTTTTGTATCAAAAATAGTCATAATTATTTTTAGTACAACCTTTTTCCAACCTCTCTTTATTCCTAGAATCAAACAGGCTGTGTTTTGTTACTATGCCTTTAAGACTGATATAAAATAAATGAGCTCCGTAGTGATTGGCTGCCCTGTATTATGTCTCATTCAAAAATGCAGCTTAGCCAATTATTTATTCTTCCTGATGAGAACCAAGCACTATTACATCAGTACTAAGTGCTGCAGGACAGAATTCTGACCCCACATTTCCAGCAGAAAACGAGCAACTTCAACATAACTGGAATACTCAAAAATATGTCACATTTTTAAATTTTACCTGTCGACTTCCCACCATGTCCGCTTGTAAAGAGTAGCGATGATCCTCAATGATTATTTTTCCCATTCAATGTTTAGCAAAATGCAATTCATCTGACAGATAACCCGGGGGAACGTGACTAGCATAGACTTAGTAGCTTTAATCAATGAGCATACAAATCCTGTTGTCACATAATCTAAACACATGGATGTGGACTTGTGCATCATTGCGATAAAATGTCTCATATAAGCCTACAAAGTGATCTGAGTCTTCATCTCAGGCAGGTCTACGTTATGAAAGAAATGTAAAGAAAATGACAAATCAATTTTATGCCTAAGGTTTTTTTTGGCTTAGTCATAAACATTGCTTATTGATTTTTTTAACTGAAAAGCACTTTGAGCTCATATTCATTATTTAATTTCAACTCCAATATGCTGTGGTAGACAGCTATAGGGTGTCCAAATATTTATGGACCTGAAGGTATATCAGCCTTAAAGCTACACTGACAAAACAGCCTGTCTAATTCTAAGGGATAAAGAGAGGTTGGACTGTTTCTGGTACATAAAACCACACAGACAGTGAGGACCTCAGCGAGGAATATTAAATACAAGAAAAATGTAGGATATGGGCCCTTCAACATGACACTGATTTAACTAATGATTTAATATTTGTTGTTACATTTGTTTCCTTTTTCCTTTGCTAAATCTTTACTTTTCATGGTACCTGTTTTTCTTTCTTTATCATGCTTGTAGAGAAAATACAGAATGTACAAAAAGTCCTTTCTACAGGTCAAAAACATGCCCTAGATATGATTCAATCTCATCCATTTAGGACATCTCCATTGCTATTCATACAAAACTCCCTATTGACCCACTAACATGCTCAAGTGCAATTTTAATGTGTTGTTCTTGTTTTTCAAATAGTACTTACATATAAAGTACATAATAAATGTTTAATGACCCTGCAACCTGGATAGATACACAATAGAGGCCAAATCAATAGGTTTGCTACAGCCACAGTGGGTAATGTCACGGTTAGTGTCTCAGACAGACCCACCGTCCGCTTTGATTATATGCGCAGTACATTTTTTGGACTCGTTCAAGAGCTAAGAAGTGAATCTTTTCCATCTGGACAGTTGACGTCAAACTGGTGGACATGGGCTCAGACCCAAAAGGCATCATTCATTAGACAGCAACTGTGCCCACTCCACAGAACGGACTGCACAGAAAGGATTCATCATTTAAATAGTCAATTTGACCCCTTAAATATCCAGGGCCTACTGGCAAGCCCAAAGTTTTATTCAACACTTCTATAACCTAAGTTATAAGTTTAACCAGTTTTCACTGAAGTCCCTGTAGTTACTGAATAATAAGCGTTAGTATGTAATAAGCCTGGACATTTAAGGGGTTAAATGACCTTATGCAAGGCAGAATTTTTTTCCTTTCCACTGGAAAAGTGGCCACTTTTAAGAAAAGATGATGAAAATTGTCCTAAAATAAAAATGGTATGTTTGATAAAGTTGTTGGATAATAAATTTTGATTAAAAAAGTGTGTCTCTGACTGGCTGTGCAAGGAGTACAGACTATTTTTTTTTTCTTTTGCTGTGTACAGTCAGGCCCTTTTGAGCAAAAAACATAGCCCTATACACCCTATCCACAAGGATGTCAGTAGTCACATCATCAGTAAATACAAGAGAACCAATTCCACTTGCTGCCACACATGCCCACACTCTAACACTACCTCCACCATGCTTGACAGATGAGGCGGTATGCTTTGGATCATCAGCATTTCTTCACTTCTCTATACTCTTCCCATCATTCTAGTATGAGTTGATCTTTGTCTCATCTGTCCATTAGATTTTGTTCCAGAACTGTACAGGCTTTTTTAGATGTTTAACTCTAATTTTATCTACCTGTGTTTGAGGCTTACCACTGTACATCCTGCAATAAACCCTCTGTATTTACTCTGATCATGTTTTCTCTTAATTGTTGACCTTGACATGAATACGCCTAACTCCTGGAGGGTGTTCTTGTTCTGGCCAACTGATGATGATTATTTATTTATTTATTTTTTAAACCAAGTAAAGAATTCTTCACTCATCCACTACAGTAGTTTTCCACAGTCTTCCAGGCCTTTTGATATTTCTGAGCTTGCCAGTGCATTAATTCTCTTTAGTAATGTACTAAATAGTTGATTTGGCCACACCTAATGTTTATGCTATTTCTCTGATGGGTTGTCAGTTCTAGACATTTTATGTGCTACCTTGTAAGTGAAGTAAGGAGAGAATAACACACACCTGGCCAACAGCTGAGTATCCAACTGTGTAATCACTTTGGGGCCCCTAAAAATGGTGGGGCTATGTATGAAAACAGTTATAATTCTCACACCATTTGAAAGTCTGCACTTTGAGCTCAAATTCATTATTCCATTTCAACTCCAATATGCCATGGTAGACAGCTAAAATAAATAACTTTGTTGATATCTACATATCTATTTACCTGACTGTAAATAGAAATGTAACTAACCTCTCCTTTAACCAAAAAATACAAAATTATAAAACTCCCTTTCACTATTGTAAAAAGTACAAAATAAAAATAATGAAATACTAATAGCTACTTATATCACAACTACAGGCTCCTTATGATGATGCAAGTGTGTTGTGACAGTTGCCATTACTGCTTCACACATTTTACAAACAGAACTGACAGTGAGAATATCATGTTTAAAGTATTTTTACAGGTTATTTTGTTAAGAATAGTGTAGTTATGAGTTGTGCACCTGTGCATACTCTGTAAGAAGCTGTATAGCTGAGTGGATAAATCTCCAGCCCTGTTCAGGGAAGCTGAAATACTAGATTTCTGCCAATCTAATAATCACTCTTACGCTACATGCTTGTATTGTAACTTGACCTGTTCTGTCATCGAAGTTAACAATATGTTTATCGCAGAAACTCATGTCGCAATGATAATAAATATATGATCAATTGTCCACTACATAGCATAAACCATCATGTCTGTTTCAGCTGCCCTCATTCTTTAAATGAGTCTCTTGGCACGCAGGGTGTCTATAAAATGTTTATTTCTGATTTTATTTTTAGGTAATATTGCTGTTCAATTGTTTGGTATTTCACAGTTATTTCCATTATTGCCTCTTTATAACTGCTACCAACACATCAGTTTGTCAACTGAATATCAGTTTAAAGGCCTCTCAAGTGAACACCTTCTAAATGAAGCTGAAGAAGTCTGGTGATTCATCCCTATGTGAAAGTATTCAAAGGTTTGAAGGGTAATAAGGGTGATAATGATTATGGTGCAAATAATATTACTCAAATAGTCTACGCTTTCCTGTTCACAATACACACTACATACGTCAACATATTCTCACTATATGTCAACACATTCCCTCTAAAGCTAAACACTGAAGTCAAATTTGTTTACAAAGCTAAACTGAGAAGCTTACCGGAGGGTTCACACTGGGGATGTGTACGGCCAGCTGCTGACCTTGACTCTTGGTTTGCTGGAGCCATGAGGCTGTCTGCCCATAAGCACGTCTCCAGACGGTGCTCGCCAGCGCTCCCAGTCTTCTAAAACCGGGCTTTGTGCCAGCAGTGCCGACATTAGACTTCTGCACCTCCAACGCCGCCTCCTCTGCAAGACAAATCTGTTCTCAGGAGTAATCCATAAGCATTCCATATGACTCTGTACTGTTATGTCAATTTGGAGGCATTTGCTAACCTTAATATATGGAGTAGAACTGAGTAAAGGCTTAGCATTTGGCTTTAATATACTTGATAGATGGCCAAAACTACTAATGTATTAGAGAGCAACCCTTCAGAGAAGACCTAATGATTTCTGTGAAACAAAAAAATACATGTCTGTAATTCTGAATTCATTTTTATTTAATATAACTCTGTAGGAATTATAATTGTAGTATTACTATGCTTTGGTAGGAAACAAAAGAGCTAAGAAAAGCGCAAGAAATTGGGAGTATCTTTGATACTGAAGTTGATTGAGCTCCGTAATCTTTGATTCTGGGTGTCCCCTTCAAAGTAACTTCATTAAAGGTAGATGGTTGTACAATACACTTACCTTTGCAGCACAGAAGAATATTTTACTACAGAGGACTACTGAGAAGATTCCAAATGTGGTTGGCATAAAGATATTAAGAGACTTAATTGAACTTAATTTAAAGGAGTATTTAACTTGTGCACTCCATTCTAACACAGACCACTTCTACAAGGTATGGGAGCCTTATATTAACTCCATCATCATTTTAATAGTGGGGTTTCAGTGATCTCTTGCACTAGATGCATCGGAGACAAGACCCAATGTTTTTTGTTTGTTTGTTTGTTTGCTTTTATGTCGAGCTTGGGCATCTAGAAATTGTTTAAATGTTAAACCATTCTTATGCAATGTAGAGTGTCCAAACACAAAATCCATTAAAAATATTCCTGAAAAAAAATAAATATAGTGTATGTTGGTGTGCACTTCACCGAGACTTTCTTGGTCTTATATTTGATAAAATATGAATAAAACGTAACCCAGAGCAATATTAAAACTTGTTAAAACCATAACCATAAGAGTCCAGAGCTTTAACACTTTTCCCTTGCAGCTCTATGATTTAATGCACTCCCTTAAAATTTTATTTTAGAAGTCATTCACTTCTCCAATGCAATGTGAGTCGCATGATAACTCCTGCAATTCCAGTTCCAAACTGTCTTCACAGTTAGGAATCTCATATTAAATGAATGGTTTTAAGTGGAATGCACCTCTAAAGCCTGTGAAGGCAGAAAAGAGGAAGGGAGGCCTTTCTGCTGCACATCCATGCTCTTTCAAAACCACCCAAAACCCACCCGTCTTCATTAGCCTGTCTCTTTGATGATGGATAAATGTGACGGGTCAGCGAGCAGTAGGAAAACATGAGGTTTTTCATCCTGCTAGGGAGTTTTGGATATCCATCCCATATGGACATATGGATGATGGGATAAAATGGGATGATGAGGACGACGGAGCATTAACTGTACAGCTCCATCCAAATTTGAGTCACGTATGCATCATGCAGGTATTGTGAAATGTATCCTTTTCCTGACCTTATTGTTGGTCTCAGAGGTGGGCAATGTGATGATATTTTATCATTATCGTGATAAAATATGCGTGCAGTTTGTAAAACACTGAATAAAAATCATTGTAGTTGTAGGTTTAGTATTATTATTATTTTTATTAACATTTTTAAAATGTTTCACTACAGATTCTGTTCTATTCTATGCTAATTTTTAAATCTCTGAAAAACCAAACATTGTGATGCATATCGTGTGTCGTGAAAATGTCTTGACATAATCGTGACATAATATGTTTGGCACTCCTAGCTGGTATATTCATAGGTTTAGATTTACAATTGTGATCACTGCTACCAGATGTGAAGTGTTGGTTGGGTGATAATAGATTTCAAAAGAAATAACACCAATATAATAGAGTTATCATTATAGGGAACCATAAAGGCATCTTTCTTAGCAGCATGTATAAGTATAGCAGTTACTGTATGACGCTGCATGACCACCTTTATTGATGTTATTTTCAAACAAAACAGCCTTTATGTAGAAGTTTTTAATTAATTAATTTTTTGCATTAGACTAAAACAACAAAAAACATGTATGTAACTAAAGAAATTGCCTCAGCAAAGTAGAAATGCGGCCTCAACAACTAAATATTTTATCAACATTTCAGTATTTCTCAGTATTTAGCCAATTGTTTGCCTTTATTACTGTTTCCTTTCTTTTCGGGACACTTGCTTTCAGTTTTTAAAAGAAATTTACAGGAATATTTTTTCACACCTTCATAGTTCAGTCTTAGAAGTCAGTTGCATTTTCTGCTTCTCACAATCTAAGCAGTCCCAACTACAAATTTAGACCCAAATTTAGACAAGTGTTGAGTTGTCTTCTCACAGTGGAAGGATGGACAGAAACACCTGTTGATTTTTTTCAGATCTGAAACAAGAGTGGAGCTTGAATTTCTCCTCTCTTTCAAATATTCATGATTTAAGTGTTGTGTTAAGTCATGTTTTCTCTGTATCTTTTGATCATTTTTTTGGATTTTCCTTTTTCCCCATCCTTATGCAAGTGGACTATAAGAACAGCTCCAGAAATTACTCAGAAAAGTACCTGAAAAGTAAATAACCTGTACTTAATGGCTGCTTTGACAGGAAATTACATAAATGAAGGATGGTCTCTGACTTTTGCACAGTTCTGTTTAGAATTTTATTGCTACCTTTTATTTAATAATAATGGCAAAAAAAACTGAATATCGCTCTTAGCTCAGTACAGTCTTGCAGCTGAACAGGTCAGAATTAATGTAATGTGCAAGACTTATCACATATGCTGTGCGCATCTATACACTGTAAGCTGCATTGAAATTACAGGGCAGCACACGGGCACAAGACAGGAAACAGGGACAATAACAAAACAATCCAAGACCTATTTGAAGACAAGAAAATGACAAAAATAGCTCGATTTGATAGTGAGCTGAGAGTAACTCATACAATCATCACTGTAGCTGATCCAATTGTGCATGTGGACATCAGCAGAAGTTCCTGAGCACTGCCTCACTGTCACAGTGAGTAAACAGCAAGCACATGTCCCCCAATGTAATAATAACAGCCAACGACCATGAGGCTCAAGGGCTGGGGCGGCCTCAGCCAGAGCTCACCGGCCTATATTCAGTGCCTCTTGTGCTGGCCAAGCAGCATTAAAAGCCCCCAAATTGGTTTAGATGGCTAGACAAAACACCAGCTAAACAGATTCCCTTCGCTGGTGGCACCATTAAAAATGCCAATGGGAGGCAGAAGCACAGAGAAAAAGCTCGGGCTTGGGGTAGATTGAGGTGATGAGAGAATGTGTTGCTGACAGAGAGCCACGTGATGTGGGAATAAATTGAAGTTACTGAAAAAAAAACGAAGAGAAACTCAAAGAAGCCGCAAATGGAAACAGTTAAGTTTGTCTGCAGGCTGCTGTTATTGGGGCCATTTCCTTCATTAGGGTTGCAGGTGAAGCTGGTCATTCTTGCTGGTCATCCAAGTTTTCAAAGTAAAAAGGTGGCTCCAAAAGTGGGATTTGATGATGAGATGATTGAGAATATCGCTGTTGTCGGAACAAAACCTTGCATCTCCAAAATGGTAACTTTACAGGAGAAAGAAAAAACATACTTTACTTTTAATGTAAGTCAATGGAACCAGACTTTTCAAAGTCATTTTCCACTTTTCCAATTCCTTCGGTCCATTCATCATGAAATTTACACACAATATAAAGGACAAAAAATTGAAAAACGACAAAAATAGAGGTGCAAGGTTTTCTTCCGACAGCAGCGATATGCTGTTAAACTCTGGCGTAACAGACCAGGAAGGATGTGTATGAAACTTCACAGATATCAGAGAACATCATAGGCCTTAATCGCACCACTGCCAGGCAAGCTTTAATGAAATGTGAGAAACCAGGACTTCTCCTGTAACTCCAGTGTTAGAAGGTCACTTACTGGCATAGGTGTGTCATGCCTATAACATTGTATGTAATATACAGCCTAGTTAGCATGTAAAACATAACACATAAATCATTTGTAAACCTAAATCTGCACTACCAGTAAAACATTTGGACACAGCTGTCTGAATATGAATTTTCATCAGAATCAGAACCAGAACCAGATTTATTGGCCAAGTATGTTGACACACACAAGAAATTTGGTTCCAGCTGCTGGTGTTGCTCTAAAACGTAGGCTTAAATGCAAATTAAATTAGTTTCTAAGACAAATGCAAATAGTGAAGTTGGGGCATATCGATGCAAAATCTTTTTTTTTTTGTTTGTTTTTTTCTCTTAGACTATTTCAAAATGGCAGCTGCTCTTTAAATTTTGTATATTTCGTGATGAATGGACAAACAGAAAATCTCCAAAGTTACTTAGAATTAATAATTTCACTTTTACTCCCATTAAAAATTCAGAATGTTCATACATAAACAGTTGTATGGAAATGTTTGGGCTCCCAAGGTCAAATTACATGGTTTGTTGATTTTGTAAGTGAAAATAAGTTGACGTTCTCTACAGAGAACACACTTCTGCAAATTTGCAGAATTACTGTTTACTCGCTGAATTTAACATCAAGGCAAAAGGGGATGGAATATCACTTTTGGGTCTTTGTGTAATTCCATACGTGTTATTTCATAATTTTATCTTCAATATTATTCCATAAAAGTGAGGTAAACCCTTCTGTGTGTTGGTGCGTCCAAACGTTTGACTGGTATACACTATAGATGTAATCAAAGAACATCAAATTGTAGCTTAGCAGCGTTTCAGTTCTTTGAAAAAGAGTTCTTTCGCCCTGTACTTTAAAAAGTGCTGGGTCACTGACCGTATTGTCTTGCTGAAGTACATCATCCAACCAACTAATTTCTCAGTGTACTCCAGGCAGTTGGACAGGACATGCTGTGTATTAAACAGGTCACAAGTCTAGGATGTTCTATTACACACTGCAACACTATGTAAGCAGTATTGTCTGCAGACATGACAGTTATAATGGAAATGACCTGGCCAGCATCAGCCCCCTGCTGTATATCATTAGTTCCTGTACATAGTGTACTCTTCAGTCTGGGTCAGGCAACTCAGTGCAAGAAACTTTTGTGTATGAATACTGAGCATATTTATCATCTCTAGACAAAGTTGAGCTTTTCCTGTTTTCTGGCACAAAGAACCTGATCGATTCAGAAATTAAGTCACGCTGTCCTCCAATGCAGCACAATGCTGGGATTGATCAACCCCTTTAAGGGAGTGCAGAGAGGATATCAAATGGAAACTACCCCAAAGATGCCAAACTATTACAGATGGGCATATTTACTGTAAAGATGGTAATGTTTTTGCTGTATGTGGTGAACAGATAAAACACACAGGCTTACCTGGTCTAAAAGACCCCGACCTCGATTGGGGGCCATGCAGACACAAATTCAAACATGAGCATAACAAAGCTAAAACAAAACTGCCAAGTAATCAAAAGGTGACTAAATACACTATATGGCCAAAAGTATGTTGACAGTTGACCATTACACCTATATGAGCTTGCTGGACATCCCATTCAAAAACCATTAATATGGATTTGGCCACCCCTTAGTGGTGTTAATCCCTGAAAAACAGTCTCAGACTGTCTCTGTCTCCACCCGACAGTCTCTGTACTCCACCAGACTTTACTGTTGGCACTATGCATTTTGGTAGGTAGGGTTCTCCTGGCACACACCAAACCCGTGAATTGCCACGCCAGAGAACACGTTTCCACTGCCAGTGGCATGTTTACACGACTCCGGCCTACACTGTAAAAAATGGCTCATCAGATCAGCCTAAAAAATTACTTAATGAGGTAACAAGTAAATTAACTAGTTTTATTCAGCCTTAATAAACGCTTTGAATAAACAATTCTTTCAATCGCTGTCATTTTTTAAGTCGAATTAAACTAGTTCAATTGTTACATGAAGTAATTTTTTTTGGTTGATCTGACGAGCCACTTTTTACAGTGTATGCTTGGCATAGTGCATTGTCATCATAGTCTTATGTGCACCTGCTCAGCCATGGAAACCCATTTTATGAAGCTCCTCACACACAGTTCTTGTGCTGATGTAGTTTCCAGAGGCTGTTGTTCCCCCCAGATGCTTCTATTCATGATAATTGCATTTACAGTGAACCAGGGCAGAAATTTCACCAACTGATTTGTGGCAAAGGTGGCATCTTGTGACAGTGCCAAGTTAAAAGCCACTCAGTTCTTCAGGTTCTTCAGTATGACTTATTCTGTTTCTGATGTTTGTCTATGGAGACTGCATAGCTATGAGCATGACTTTAGCAATGGGTGGCATAAATACTTGCATTCAATAATTACCAGGAGTGTCTACATAGTTTTGGCCATGCTAATGTACTTGAAAAGTTGTCAAACATATACTCAATCTGTGTGAGCTGTGACCCTCCAAAATCGACTCATCTAGTTTGCGGATGCTGTGTAGAGTCAAATAGCTACTTTGTAAGGTAGCTGATAATCACATAGTGTTAATACACACAAGATGCAAAACATGAGCAAACCTGAGGGGTCCAAGACACTGAGACCCCCCGAAAATCTCAAAATGAAAATTTCGGGAGGTGCCCTGAAAATAAACATATAGTAGCATTATAGGGTCCATTAGGGGAAAACATACGCTCAAATATGAATTCACACAGTTTGGCTATTTTTCTGTCCTAATACACCAACTAAACCTGGTATTTAATGCTGAATTGAATCATGTGTTTACATATGGAATTCACCAAACACTGCTAGACTCCTGCCCTTTAGGATTCTGACTTCTCTATTGCTCTGTTTACCTGACTGTGATGTGTGCATGCTATGATCACACTGATGTAGGTTTATGGGACCTACAAAAAGTGTAGCCCATGTTCATTGTAGGTGACCATTAAGTGTTCAGAGATATGTATTACTTTTATAAAAAAATAATGATAGAGAACATTCAGATCAACAAAGAAATAATAAAAACAATATAAACTGTAGCCAGCCTTCACAAAAAGGATGGCGACATAAACGTCTTTCTGGATCCGATTTTCACCAGGTACCAAGAGCCATTATTTGGCAAGGCAGGCACATTTAGCCTCTGTGAATACAATAGCTCCATCTAGTGGCCAATTTAAAGAAGCACAAATGTATTTAGTTCTCACTTCCAGTCCAGTGACTCTAAGTCTATATCCTCAAAATGTCCAGACACCATGTTGATTACCTTTCTCCTCAGAGGTTGCTGGGAGTATGTAGTTGACTACACGCTCAGTGAAAGTCAAGGCAGTGTCAGCTCCTTCTTCTGCCATCTGTGAAATCTTGCTGCTCAGGACGTACTGCACAGCTGGGCTCTGCACAGCAGAAGACACCAGGTCTCCGATCCCTGCTGCCAACTGATGAGGAGAGAACAGAGGTGAAACTGCTGGCAGTGCAGGAAAACAAAAGCACTGGGCATTTCTTGCACTGGGGTCTATAAGATGAGTTGGAGGTGCTGTTAGTGGGTATATGTACTGACCACGATAGAAGCTCTGATGTTAATAACATGCATACAAAATGTAATTTGGACAGTCAGTCAGCAGTCTAGAACAAGCATGCTTATTGGCTCGCTGATTGATTGCTTAGGTATAGAAATTTGGTTCTAAAAGAGAAGTTTTTCCATGCTAAATAATTCGACTGCTACTATCAAAATATTGAAATGTGATACCCAGACCCTGTCCCCACCTACAGAGGTGCATTAATTCAGCATCATTCAGCTGTTGCACAAACGTGCATTACCTTTGCAGGGGGGAAATCCAAAGCTGGCATTTTCTCTTCAAGGCGGTCCAATCCTCGGCAGGCCAGTGAGTTGGCAGCTACAACTAAGAATAATTAAAGATTCAAGTATAAAATTAGGTAACTAATTAGGAGTCTTTGGTACGTTTGTATAGGCATTGTTAGCAACACTCCTCTCAAACTATTACCGGACGAAATTACAGAGGCCTTTACAAGTAAGTTACGATTAAAACCATTCTCTCGCTCTGTTCTTGAGAAAACATTCCTAATTAATTTAATTTCTTTATTTTTATGTGATTATTCATTGCAAGCTGTATATAATCTTGACCCAGTGTCCTTTTTCCCACAAGGTCAGCCCAATCAACACCAAACACCTAAACATTCCCCCCATTTGTGCTGCTTAGAATTATAAACATATTTAGATTCAATATTCAGTTCACTGAATGTGAAATGTTGTAGGAGAGTAGGCAACGCTGCAGACATCTGATGCAATCCTCAAGTGGGATCATGAGTTATTCAAACAGTTAACGTTATTTCTCAAGCTATCATCTAATCATCTAAAGTCTAAAAAAGGTCAAGGCTGCAGTGTCAGGGGAGCAGTAAAACTGCTCAGTTCTAGTTTCACAACATCAGAAAATGTGAAAACGCATTCAACAGCCTGGAAAAAAGAGGCTACACCCAAAGACATGAAATTAATACGAAGGGTGTCTGGGGTGGGGGAGAATAGGTTAAAAGTAAGAATGTAAATGCACTGAACAGTTAGTAATTTACTGGAAAGAGAACACTGTGGAAATACCAGACTGAAAATGGGTGTGGTAAAGCTTTTTTTTTTTTTTGAGTTTCCACTATCTATGAACTGTAGTTGCTTACCTTATCTTTAACTAACTAAATATTTGTTAAATGCATCTGAATGTTGAATATAACAGAATCTAGATTCAAATCTAACTGCTAGTTTTTACCTAACCCTAAAACCTAAACCCGAATCTAAACCTGACCCGAACCGTAACACTGTTAATAGTCAACAGTTTATAATAGACATCAGATTTTTAGGGCATTTATAGATCATTTAGAGGAACCTATAAAAAATTTTAGCTGATGTTTATATATGTTAAAATGACTACTGTAATAATCATACACAACCTAAGGGGGAAAAGCACAGCTAACACAGAGCACACTAAAAGCTTTTCATTGTTTGTCTCTTTGTTTTTTGTACTGGGTGTCACACCAGTTAAAATTCTTCTTCAGGTAAGAGTTTTGTCACAACCATTGACAGTAAATTTAACTGTAATATTTCCAAATTCCAGCAGTGTTTGACTGTTGGAAGTATGACTTGGTAGATGACTTGAGAAATTTAATGAAGCTGAAATTGGCTCATTATTCAAATTTACTGTTCCGCCTTAAAAAGATGAAGTTACACTAATGTGCCTGCACATGTGCCAGAATGCATCTTCTGCTTCATCTAAGGTGGGACAGAATATTCAAACAAAAAGCTGTCAAATGAGAAGCCAACTTCAGTCTCAAAGAAATTAAGATGTGAGGCAACATTTAGCACTGGGCCTGTGGAGCAAGTGTTAGATATAGTATTGACATAGTTTTATCTATATATTGTTCAGTTTTGTTTTTGCTATTTTTACTAGTTCAGATTTACTTTGGTTTATCAAAATGCTTGTTGTTAAAAATTAAGAAGACATCCCAGAATAATAAGCCACTGTTAATCAAAAAAGGTTGACTTAAGCAACTAAAATGCAAAAAGCAACAAACAAATAAAAAAAGAGAGTGATATATACCAAAACTGTCAAAAAATGTTATTATACCATGATATACATTTTTGGCCATACCTGCCACTGCTAATCATTACTTAATTCATCTGAGAGTCTGCACTTCTGTATTAACACATACTTTCCCATGTTTTCAGTTACTCTCTCAGAGTCTTAATTTCCTGTCATTCTTTTAAACTAGCTTTTAATTTCTAGGAGCCATTGAAGAGTGTTTAGAGTCTAACATCTGACTAAAAGGCCAATTGTCAAAAGAACTTTCCATCCCTCCCAGTTCTGGATGACTTACATCAACCTTGGGTAAAAGCCTTCACTCGTAACTGAAAGGCAAAAGCTCATTTACTTTAAAAAGCTGGACTAACCACTACTGTAGACCCTGTAGAGTACTACTGTAGAAACATTAATACAATCACTCATTACTAGTTAATCAATTTTTAACTGTATCACTTTTAAGCAAACCATTATAAGGCTTAATCCACACCAGTTAAAAAACAGGCCCACAGCACAACTGACCAGCATGACTCTTGATCTGACAGTGCTCTCTTTCCACTTGTACACAGGTCAAGCTAAAGTCATGAGTCATACCGTGTCTAGACAGTGTTGCTGTCCCAGAGGAACATCAGCGCTAAAATGTGAAATACCAAACCTCTGATCCGGGTTGAGGCAGATGGGGCAGCTCAAAAGGCTTTCAGGCAGAGATTCGCTGCCCTTGGATTGCTAACCTGGAGCTGGAGTTCTAACCACCTGCTCTTTCACTGCAGAAAAGGTCTCATGAAAAATAAAAGTGTGGTATGTATTGGGCCCATATCATGGAAAACTGAATTCCCTTAACTTTTTTGAAAACATTGTTAAAATTACCATTCGCGACCCTGTCCGTACAGTCCATATAAGGAAATATGCTGCAAAACAGACAGCTTTTAATGAATAATTTCTGTGATGTCACAAGAACACTTATTTACATAATATCCACCTATTCTGCCTACAGCAGTTTAGCTCCGCCAATTCATACTGAAGTTCTAAGTGTGTTTCAGTTCTGAATGCTTTCTGAATGAGGCAAAATACAGGGCAGCCAATCAGAACAGACATCATTTACATAAATTTGTCCCAAAGGCACAGTAACAAAAAACAGCCTGTTTAATTGTATAGGATAAAGAAAGGTTGGAAAATGGTCAGGTAAAAATTAATTTTGGTACACAAAACCAGACAAATGTCATAAGTGGACCTCAAGGGAAAAAATAAAACACACAGAAATGTAGGATATGGGCCCATTTAAAGTATTATATAATAATAAAAAAGTTGGGATGCTGTGCAAAATGTACATAAAAATAGGATGCAACAATGTGCAAATCATTAAACCCTATAAGTAATAAAAACTGGTACAAAGACAATATATCAAATGTTAGACCTGATATTTTTTTTTTTAAATAAATGCCCATTTTAAATTTGATGCCAGTAACACGTTTCCAAAAAAGTTGAGAGGGCATATTTATCCCTGCAACACCTCTACTTTTAACACAACACTCTGTAAGCATTTAGAAATTGAGGAGACCAATTGCTGTAGCCGCTTGCTGTAGGACTGCTCAACAGTCCGGGGTCTCCTTTGTCATATTTTTAGTTTCATAATGAGACAAATGTTTTCAATGAGTGAAAGGTCTGGACTGCAGGCAGGCCAGTTTAGCCTCCATACTCTTTTACTACAGAGCCATGCTGTTGTAATATGTGCAGAATGTGGTTTGGCATTGTCTTGCTTAAATAAGCAATTCCATCCCTGAAAAAGACGTCATCTGGATGACAGCATACGTTGCTTTAAATTCTGTATACATCATTCAGCATTAATGGTCCTTTCACAGATAAGTCACCCATACCATGTGTACTTATGCACCCCATACCATCACAGATGCTGGCTTTTAAACTGTGCATTAATAACAAGCGGGATGGTCCCTCTCCTCTTCAGCCTGGAGGATGCAGCATCCATGATTTCCAAAAAGAATTTCAAGTTTTGATTCATCGAACCACAGGACACGTTTCCAATTCGCCTCAGTTCATCTTAAATGATCTTGGGCCCAAAGAAGGGAGCCGTGTTTCTGGATTCTGTTTATATGGTTTTCTCTTTGCCTGGTAGAATTAAAATTTGCATTTGTGCTCACAGACATTGATTTTCAGAAGTGTTCCTGAACCTATGCAGTGATTTCCACTACAGAATCATGTCAGTTTTTGTTGCCTGAGGGCCCAACGATCACAGCTAGCCAATATTGTTCTTTTAGCCTTGTTTTTTGCATACAGAGATTTCTCCAAATTCTCTGAATCTTTTAATAATATTACTATGTACCACAGATGATGAAATCCCCAGGTTTTTGTTATTTTTATTGAATTGTTGCACCATTTGCCTGCACAGTGTTTTACAGACTGAAGACAGGCTGGCATCAAATTCAAAATGGGCATGTATTTACTAAACAAAAAAACATTAAAAAGTTTTTTTTTTTGGAAACAGGGTTGTATTAATATTAACAGACTAGATAATATAGTTTCTCTTGATAAGATCCCTTGGAATAAATAAATAAAACTGTCCAGAAATAGAATAATCTCATGTTCAAAGTGCTGGATAACACCCAGTCTATTTAGTCACCAGCAGGTTTTATCCCCTACAAATTTTTGTTGAGATTAACAAAAGTGATAACACTTCACTTGAACCCTGCTACATAACATTAACATAACCATGACATAAACAGGTCATGGCAGATGTCATATGACAGGTGTGGTTCAGCAACATAACAGGGTCATGTTACCATTAGTGGTAACTGTGATAACAGACGCCATAAAGTTTTCAGTCATGACCTCTAATGTCACTTGTTACTTTTGCTAAATATACTCAAGTTAACCATCATGACATCAAATATTATGACCTCTGTCAAGACAATCAAATGTAATGGTAACATGAAACTGCTGTCTTACTGGACATAACCTGTGATGTTAACATATTACATCTACCATAACATGTTTATGGTATGGTTATGTCAATGTTATGTAGCAGGAATTAAGTAAAATGTTACCACAAAAGTGATATTTTACATTAATTCAAACCTCAAATACACTTCAAATCACCTTTTGTCTTGCTCCACTTTTTTACATTACAGAGTTCGTGCCTTCATAAATGCCACAAAAAGGTGCAGCACTTCAGTTCACAGCAACTGAGGTGGATACCACTGGTTATGTCTACTTAACAAAGAATGTTCATAATGCTTAAGAATTAATCAAATCACAAGATTCTTTCCACCTCTGCAATATAGTATGTAAGATTCCTCCTTGCAGATTAAAAGTTCCTGGAAATAATGCTTCAGACAATCGCAGTTAACATAATTAGGATAAGAGTTTCTACTATCTGGGTCAGACAGCCAGTTTGGGAACTTACGCTGAGGCTGCAGCATGTGGACAGCAGGCTGCACGCTCCGGGCAGCCAGACTGCCAGCACTCCTCATGCCTTCTTCACAAACTCCACAAACAGATGACAGGAATGGGTTAGCAGCCTTAGCGCTGGAGTATGACCTCCCGATGACCTCGAATGTGATATTGACACTTGGAAGATTCCGGAGTCTTGCAAACACATTCTGTGGAAAGCACAGGACAGAGAAAGATATTTATAATTTTTTGTTAATCTTTACATTTAAACATGTAATTTTATTTGTCTCTCAAGTTTCTAAAACCTTTGCATAGTACTACTTATAGTACAGATATATATATATATATATATATATATATATATATATACCAATGATCCAAAACATTTTGTCCACCAGCCTAATATACTTTTGGTCGTCCATGTGCCATAGCTCTGACCTGCCAAGGCATTGACTTTACAAAAACCTCTGTGGCCCTGCGGTATCAGGCACCAAGACATTAATAGCAGATCCTTAAATCCTGCAAGTTGTAAGGTGGAGCTGCAACAGAGTGGACTTCTTGTTCTAGCACGTCCCACGAATTGAGATCTGGGGAGTTTGGAGGCCCGGGCAACACCTTGAACTCTTCGTCATGTTCCTCAAACCATTCCTGAACAATAAGAGTAGTGTGAGTGTGGCAGGACACATTTTCCTACTGAAATATGCCACTGCCATTGGGGAATATCATTACCATGAAGGGGTGTACCAGGTCCGCACCAATGTTTAGGTAGGTGGCATGTGTCAAATTCAAGTCCACATGAATGACCAGATCCAGGGTTTCCCAGCAGAACATTATACAGATTATCACATTCCCTTCACTGGTTTGTCTTCTTCCAACAGTGCATCCTGGTGCCATCGCTTCCTCAGTGTAAACGGCACACATGATATACATCAATGAGCCTTGGGTGTCTAACTCACCACTGCTGATGGGGGTAGGTACTCACCACTGCTGATGGGGGAGCACCTCACAAGCCCTGCTGTTTTTAGAGATGCAACGGCCCAGTCGTCTGACAATTTGGCCCTTGTCAAAGTTGCTCAGGTCTTCATCCCTGCCCATTTCTCTCACATCTAACACGTCAACTACAAGAACCGTCTGTTACGCTTACTGTCGAATATATCCCAGACCTTGACAATGTGCCGTTGTTACTAGATATATATATATATATATATATATATATATATATATATATATACACACACACACACACACACACACACAGTACTGAGCAAAAGCTGTAGGCACCTAAAATTAGAATCAAAATGCTGTTTTTTGAGGCAGTGTTTATTTTCAGACAAAAACACTAATTTTACAATAAATACAAATAACATTAATACAACAAAAGGTAATTTATGTATGTGTATTATTTAATAATTTTCAAACCTCTCCTCGAAGAAGCCCAGTATTATTTGTAGTTATCAATCAATACCTGGTTCAGCAAATTGGTCCTTTATCAAATGAAGTAAAGTGTGCTGATGCTGGATAAATCTATGTGATGGCTGGGGGTGTCCATGAGAAATCTTGAACCAAACGTGTATTCTTCAGTCTAACTCACAAGATATCAGCTACTTTTTTTCAAAATAATAAATTCTCATTGTGTTTTACTGTATTTATGTTTACTTGCATTTAATCATACTGTATTTAACAGAAACAAAGTTATTGCTGAGATTTTAAATAATGTGCCTTGACACACTACTGTGCATATATATACACTTGTAACACACACAAACACACAAAACAAACAACCTTAAAATGTATTACCTGGTTATTTTCAGATGTATCGTGGTCCCTTTCTGCTGGTGGCATTTTCCAAGACTGCTGACAGCTGAAGAACCAAAGACAGACTTTCAGTTAGCTAAACCATCATGTTCCAATGACATACAGCACATTTCCCTATTTACAACACATTACACTACAGGCTGACTCACACTAAAAGGTATCTTAATAATACTGAAATATTTTTGATGAATGATGAAAATTACCGTAAAGTTAAGTCTCTATCTGCAGTTTCGAGCCAGTTGTATGTACAGAGACATGTCCTAACAATGGCTGAACCTCTCTGGCTACTCCCACCAGCTCAGCTTCTATTCCTGATCCATCATCACTGTTGAGACAGACATGATTTCAAAATGGCACTTTTCACCCATGTTGCGTAAAAGGGGACATTAAGGAAACTTTTAATGCCCTGATTTATCCTCATTTCGCCTTACTTACGTCAACTTGACCATGCCCCATAGTTACCTCTTGCGGCTGCTGCAATTGTAGAAATACCTAGTTGGCAGTGTTAGTTTTTACTACGCCCATATTTTAACAAACTGCACTTCCTGAACTGGGACAAGTTAAGACTGCACGTGTATAAACTACAAATGGCAGGTCAGGCTGCAGATTTTCAACAAGTAGGAGCACATCTGATTCCACTTGTTTAATCACTTGGTTTCAGTCTTCAAACAACTGAAGATGTGAGCTCCTGCTTTGTTGGAATGAAAACCTACACTAGGCCTTTACCTTACACTTTTATGTGTTTTCCTTGCTCTAAAAACACCTGAGCCACAGCTGATCAACAAGCCCCACCTGAGTTAAAGTGGGGGTGTTAAAAGGCCCACTCACGGAAAACTGAGTTTTCCTCACTTTTTTTTCTCATTGTTTGATATGATATGCAAACTAGGTTACAAAATGTATCAAATCACTCCCCAGCCCACACAGTTATGAAAACGAAGCTGCACAAACAGTATGTTTTGAATTCATAGTTTTTGTGATGCTGGGAAAACCAAGACATTTATATATAATTTATTTAGCCTAAAGTTATTCGCATTAAAGTTATAAAGCGCGTTTCAGCTAAGGATGGTTTTGAGGGGCAGCCATATTGGAATAGAGAGCATTTACATATATCAGTCTTAAAGGCCTAGTCACAAAAACATTATGTTTTTCTCTTTATCATTATTCTAAAGGATAAAGAGAAGTTGGAAAATGGTCATGTAAAAAAGAATTAGAACTGTTATAGGTACTTGAAACCACACAAACATTAAAGTGGACAGGAGGTGAAAAAATAAAATCCAAGAAAAATATAAAGATATGGATTGTTTGATGCAGGGAAAATGCTAAAATATGCAAAGGAGGGGTACACCAGTGCTAAAACTGAGAACTACACATACTAGGCCTTTGTGTTATTACCTTTAATAGGCTACTACAGGTTTTACAACTGCACCTAGGTCAGGTTCAAAACTCTTTGTACAACCGCAAACATAAGCAGTTAACAATTGCCTCAAATTATTTTGCGAATCATGAATAAGTATTATGAAATAATCAGCATAAAATAATAATTTACACCAAAGTGGAAATTGATTATATATAGAAACATCACTACCCAGATTTAGATCATCTGGTGCTTCTAGGTATCATCTTGTCCAAAACACTCTGATAGGAACAGTTTTGGTGGTCAACAAGGTTTTGCACAGTTGAGTCCCATTTCCTTTACATCTTTTAATATATAGATTTTTAAATTCCAGTGGAAGCTCTTGTTTTTTTTATTTATTTTCCTTTGACTTTCACCCACTTACATGTAGCTTAAAAAAGTGATAAAATGCTTCTGGTAAAATTCACTGCAACTTTAATGCCTTGCTGTGAGGTGTTGTTCATCACCACTAGATGTCAGTGTTAACAAAGTATGTCTATGGGAGAAGAACACATCAAGAAAATGAAAGATGCAGTAGGTGTTACGGTTAAATAAGATTAACCCTTTAATATTACTGACTACAACCCACTACAGATCACTACAGCAATCCCATTACTCTTATTTTGTCCACTCCACTGCATATTTTAAGAAGCAAGCAGGGAAAGTGATATTAAAAACTCTCAAGAACAGCCTTCATTTGACACGAACTACAAAAAGTGTAACAGGTTCAATCAATCTGAAGTGCTCATTTCTCTCCCTACTCTCACTTCATTGGAAAACACTACAAAACCACACGTTCTGAAGTGGTCAGGAGATTCTTTTTCTGAAAAAAAAAAGTTATTTTTGGTCAGAGGTAAAGCTGACCTTGTTGCTTCTCCAACTTTAATTTTGTTCCATTGGATATGCAACACACAGATCCCAATCAATTCTTTGAAAAAGTGTTTTTGAAGTTACAAGGCCACCTCATTCCCATATTACTCTGATATATTATAGTACAAAGCAGCAGAGACACAATCTAATTCAGATTAAAGAATATTCCCCTCGCTCGAAGGGTAAAGGAACACATCAAAGCAAGAATAAAGGTGTAATAAGGTGCAGCCATTACTTCCTGTTACATCATTTCAAGGTCCAATGCAATTCACTTTGTGTGTAAAAACAGTAAGAAACTGTAGGATGCACGAATGCCCAAATGCACATATGCATAGTCGAATCATTTTACTGAATCAATTCTTTCAAACTGTTTGTCTCAATAAATCGGATGTCTTATACCCAATTCGTTTTTATTCCTGGCTGTGGAGCAGACTGATTCAGTAGTATCAAACTGATCCTCTGTGAACTCAGGGGTACAAGACAATGTACTTCAAAGCCAGTAAGAAAACTACACAGAGAAACACGGTTTATTTGGTGAAAACTAAATAAAAACAACCTTTCTTCATCTGGTCTATATTTTACATTTCTCTATAGCAATCAGGACCTTGCGTCATGCCATGTTGGCAGGGTGTGTTCTTTGTTTACATGCTGAAAATACTCACATACACAGCCAGATTTTACTCCTATACAACTGGATTTATAAAATGAGCTGGAGCTTGATGTTTATCAGAACACTTCTTGATGCTTCCTGTGCTGTGCTTATCTTGATTTTGCTCTGATGTTCATCTGGTATCCAAGTAGTCCACAGGCTTCAGATCAGTGAAAATCAAAGAAAGCAGATCGGAAAGGAAGGTTTATTCAACCATTCTAAATCAGTTGACCGACTAACCCTGCCGAAAATGGAGGATCACCCATAAGAGACTGCATAAGGACATCATATTCCAAGGCATATAACTGGAATGCATTTTGCCCTCATTAAAGCCAGTGTCAGCAGAAAGCTAACATACCAAGAATATTCAAAGAGAGGACTTATAGTCGTTATAAAACTCCAGTGTACAAAGTTAAAAAACATTACCTGAACGTTTGTTTTGAACTTAATATTTGTGTTTAAACCAGAGCTTAAATTTTACTGACAATACTATCAACCTGAGTCAAACCTCATAAGTGTGCAGTGCTCTATGGGTCTAATTTTCAGTCAAACACAGCAGAAACCGGATTCCACTGATTGTGAGTGATGCACTGTGACCCAGTGCATTAGTGAACATGTTCAAAAACCATTGAGGTTTGGCTCTGACAGGAACTGCCACAGCAGCTCTCAGGTTTATCTCATAAACTAGTTTTCAGTTCTTTCAGCTCAACTTCTCGCACAGACTCAGTCTCTCAAGCGGCCCCTAGCGGTCACAGACACCCAGCACATCACTGTTAACCAGCTGAGCAGAGAGCTAACAGGCTAACACACCCCTCCAGTAATATTAGGCTTTAAATTGAAATATAAAGGTATTCATTGAAAACCTACAGCATACAACGTAAAGAACAAGTTACATGCATGGCTTACAAGCTTCACATGTCAATGTTTAAGATATAAATTGTATTAAAGCCAAGGTGGAAAGTGTATGTACTCCACTGTTTTTTGACTGAACTTTGGAGATAAAATTGAAAGCAAGTCTCACTAAAAAGAATAGAATCTCTAATAAGGGAAAAGGGTTAACATGCTAAATACTGAAATGCTTTGAATTATAATTAGTTGTTGAGGCCTCTCTGTAATTTTCTGTTGAACATATGTTTTCTGCTTTTTTCCTGACACTGAAAATTATTATTACTATTAGTAGTAGTAATAGAAGTGGTAGTATTTCCTCAGTGAGTGAAAGCAATTAATTCTGGCTGCAGTTTCTTCAACAGCAGCTCCTGGTTTAATGATCCCTTAGGGATATTGGCAGTCAGTGGTGTTGGCTGACTGCCAGTCAAGGCATTTGTGTTTCAGTTTTTTCACATCCATCTTTGGCAAGTCTCCACCTCATTCTTATTCCTCTAGTTAATTAGACAGCTCTATTTGTATATTTGCAAATATTTGAGGTATAAAGCCATTACACACATGCAAGTGCACAGTTCTAGACCAAATGTAGTGTATTAGTGTGAGGAAGTGCATGTCTCACGTGTGCTAATCTGTTCAATCTCAATTATGCTTAAACATCATAGGATTTCCAATTGGAGAAGAATTTAATCAGAAATTTAGGCTTCCCATTTGCAGCAGAATAAGAGTCGGAAATTATTCCTAGACAATTCCTTTTTTTTGCATTACTATTACACATGATAATTAAATGAATGATTTTTGTGTAATATGAAAACCTTCATTGTAATATTTTCATTTTAAACTGCTTAAATAACAACAAAACATTCATTAATACAGAGTCATACTGAGAAACTTTCCGCAGCTTAACATATTCTTTAACCAAAAGTATGTGGACACTCCTCCTAATTACCGAGTTCAGGTGTTTCAGCCACACCCACTGCAAATAGGTGTATAAAGTCAAACACAAAGCCATGCATTCTCTATAGGCACAGTTGGCAGTAGAATGAGTACTGAAGAGCTCAGTGACTTTAAACATGGCTCTATCACAGGATGCCACAAGTCAGTCTGTGAAGTCTCTGCTTTGTTAGATCTGTCCCAGTCAACTGTAAGTGCTATTATTGAAAAATAAAAGCATCTAAGAGCAACAACAGCTTAGCAACAAAGCAGTAGACCATGCAAGCTCAGAGAGCAGGGCTGCTGAGTGCTAAAGCGCTATCCTTTATCCTCTGTTGCATCGCTCACTACAAGGTTCCAAACTGCCTCTGGAAGCAAGATCAGCACAACAGCTGTGTGTTGGGAGCTTCATGGATGGGGGTTCCATGACCAAGCAGCTGCACACAAGCCTAAGATCAGTATGTGCAAAGCCAAGTATTGACTGGTGTGATGTAAAGCAGGAATGGAAATGTGTTCTCTGGCGTGATAAATCACACTTCTCTATCTGGCACTTTGATTGACAAATCTGGGTTTGACTGATGCCAGGAGGACAGTACTTCCTAGATAATGGTCTGGGACTGTTTTCCAGGGGGCATAGACGAGAGTCATATGCAGGACAGAGAGCCAGTCACGCTGAACCAGCGGGCTGAGTAGCTGATGATGTTCACCTGCGTGTTGCTTCTGCCAGCCTATTTATAGCCATGTCTTTTCTCAGTAGGTGGGCGAAGACCAGAGAGAGAGAAGACCGGG